CGCTTCCGAAACTTAATCTCACTCACTCGCGTTAGGTCAGGATTTCCCAAATTTTTTCTTAGAAGAAGCTAGTGCCCCAACAGACTAGAGGTTGCACCTCAATCGAACGACGGAAGTGAAAGGTTCGAAATTCAGAACACTGATATACAGGATGGACTATAATTCCCGGAACGGTGAAATATCTTAGGAAAAATATTTGCAAACGAAAACAAAAAAAATACGTATGTAATGATTTTCAAAAATGTTTTCAATGATACGAAACATGACACTCCGTTCCTACCCTCTGAGGATTGGTTGGGGGGCCGGTTCAAAATGTTAAATGAAACCACCCATTTTTATTGCAGATTCAGATTCTCCATAAAATCTATATACGTACATTCCTTCCGCGCACGTGGTTCGAGCTTTGACACAATTGACGGTTCTAGAATCCACGCAAACCAAAAAAGCGAAAATACGGTGATTGCACTCCAGCATTTTGCAACATGCAATATTGCTTGGACACGATTTTCACAAAATTATTTTATTTCAAGAATTTTACTACGATCGCAGACTGCAACTCAGCTGTATCTGCAGTCGAACATACGCCAACTTTCCACAAAGACTCCAAATCAAATGTACATTTTTAATGCCTTATGCCCATATGCATGGGCGCTGTAGGCCTTCCATTGAGTTTATGAAAACTGTTCGAAGGATTGTTTGTCCCTCTTAATTCATTACATTAGCAGATAATGATACAATGAATAGTAACATACAATTATAGAGAGTAATATTACACTAGTCATTTAATTAATTTCAATAACTTGAAAACATTAGATGCTAATTAAAATTGTAAGTGCTTATAATATCCTGACATATAATGAAACAATTTACTACATTTATGAATAGTACATTCCCTGATTGAACAGAAAGAGTGGTACGGAGTGTCACTTTGTTTTTTAATTACAGAAAAGTTTAAGCAATTCAGATAGCATGTATGGAAACTCTAATTTGGTGACGTTTAAACAATGTTTTGAAGTATTAATTATCTGCTGATTTTGTGGTAACTGAAATATTGTTAAAAATCTGTGCAGCAATGCAGAAAGGATCTTCGTGAGTTGACTTGCTAGAGTTTATCCTGTGATAGTCCTATGTCCTCTAGTTATGTATCTCTTTATTACTCAGAAGATATTGATTCTGATTATTTCTCAAAAGTAGTAATACTTTGTAAGAGTAAAGTGCTACAACAGTCTGTAATTCATATTTAATAAAGAAATCTGTACAAGACTGTCTCGGATTCAGTTGCAAAATGTTGCTGATACATTTCTTTTGTAGTACCAATCTATCCATTTTGTTGTGTTGTACCTCCTCATATTTCAATACTATATTGAAGTTGTGAAACGTTTAGCCCATAATACACCGAAAGAAGAGCATCTGTTTCCAGGTAGTATCTCAAGATGAATATATTGGCGTTTATTTTATTACAAAACTCAACTTTTTTGTTACAAGTTATGTTTTGATCAATGAATATTCCAAATAACTTATGATGATCAGTTTGATTCACTGTTTCATTGTCTACTTCCACTTTAATGCTTTGGTATTGATAACCGTGAAAATAATTCTGTTAGATACATTTGTGGACATTTAATGAAAAAATGTTTAACAAAACATTATTGCACTACTTGAAAAAATTATACAATACCTACTGCACAGTTTGATGATGTTTTGTTTTTACAAAGCTTATAACTACGAAGCTACAACTTTTGGACAACTAAATATGCCTCATAATAACTTTGTTCATTACATCTGCAATTTGGAAAACATATTTGTTTGGTATAATATATTGTAAAAACTGGATTTATACAAGTATTATTGACCAATTACAGGGAAGTTAATTTTGATCATCCGTGTTGTCAATTTCCTCGTGGGTTTTTGAAACACTGATATGGAAGAATGCGTCTTTTCTACGCATTTAAAAATTTATTAACCATAATTTTAAAATTACAAATACTAGAAACAAAATGATTATATGGATGATCCGGATAAATTATTGTATATTTGGAATATTCATTGAATAAACTTTAAAATTCTGTTCTATGAAGTTCTTCCAAAAACTAATAGTTTTCAAGTGCTGCTGGTCCACATGTTGGCCACCAGTTTTCACAAAAATGTTTGGAAATGTGTACTTCTCCATAAAAGTATAAGAACAGAAAGTTGATGATAATTAAATAATTTTAATTGTTGTTTGTGCAATTTTTAAGTCAAATTATGTCAGACACAGTTTTCTCTAAAATGCTCGATCTTCTTATTTTTCGCCTGTTGTAATAATGATAATAATAATAATAATAATAATAATAATAATAATAATAATAATAATAATAATAATAATAATAATAATAATAAATTATTAATTCCGTGGTAGTAGTCTGGCCACGCCGGAGGGTAGCTGGGAAATAAAGTACCACCCGTGGACCAAATCCAGACGGTGGTGGCAGCGTAAAAGCGCTAGGGGACGGTGACCCCGAAATGAAACCCACGATGGAAGGTCCCTCAGGATCAACCGTTACGGTGCAGGGGATCGGAGACCCAGCACCGGCAGCTGGGTAGGGCAAGAAGGCCCCCGGAGGTCGTCAACCAGCGACTGCAATCTCAGCGACGTGGACCGCTTGGCGTCTCTGGAATACTACACTGCGACAAGCGAAAGTCTAGAGCGTGCAGATTTTGACGCCTTTTCTGGAAGGTCGTAGCTCCGGAAATCGCCTCCAAGCACCTCAACCACTCCCGGGATAAGCACGACTGAGGAACGAGATGGCGCGGCGAGGAGCTATTATATGTGAGTATGTAGCAAGAAACGATCTTATCATTCTAAACTCTGGGAACGAAAACACTTTCCAACGGGGAGATACTTCATCTATACTGGATTTAACAAAAAGTACTTCCAGACTGGCTAAGGGCATCACAGACTGGATGGCGTGGGATGAAGAAACCTTGAGTGACCACCGATACATAGAGTATACCGTAGTATCAGAGGGACCACAATATGGTAAGGCGAGATACAAAAGAGGGCCATCTTGGAATACCAAAAAACTTCATGAGGATAAGGCAAAACGCTTGTTGGAAGAATCCAGAATACTGGCAAGCTTGGGTTGGACAAATAAAGCGGAAACATTCGAAGATGTGATAAAGATAACGGAAGAAATAGTGGCAGCAGTGTGCGACACGTCTATGCCTAGAATCAGTGGCTCCAGGAATAAACAACAAATGTACTGGTGGACCTCGGAAATACCAAAAGCACGTAAGAGTTGCATCAAGGCTAGAAGAATGGCAACAAGAGCCAAGACCGCCCTATGCCTTAGAGAGCAATATAAAGCGCAACGTAAGCGACTTAAAAAAGAAATTAAAAAGAGCAAAAGTAGACGATGGAAGGTACTTCTAAGGCAGATTGATAATGAACCTTGGGGTATGGCGTATAAGATAGTGACTAAGAAGTTTCGGATGGATCCCAAAATAATTAACTGAATGACCCACAGTGGATGAAGGGTGCTATTAAAGAGCTCTTTCCCAAAAGAGATCGCTGGGTGAGACAAAGGCAGAATGATTTTATGTTCAACTGATTACTTTACGACAGACGACCAGTAATCATCTGATTATTCTTCCCGCGTATTGTAATTGTGTACGTACGTGCGATGTTTAACTGTTTCACTTCCAGCGCTTTTGGCGGCGCTTTTGGAGGACGTATTTTTCTCACGATTACGTACAGAGCAGAAATGACCGTGGAAAACATCGGAATCACGTTCATCAAGTTTCGGTACCGAAACATACGAACATCATTTCTCCATTCTTTTTCTGTACAGAAAAAGGATGCAAAAGTGACCGTGAAAACAGGCTTGTCACACGTCGGAAACAAAAGTCGCTCACAGCGCTCCAAATGGCATGGCAAAGAACTGCATTAACCGCCCGCCTTCCTCAGCTCCATATTCTGTCCCAGTATATGAAAATTAATTTCACTCAATTGTCTTCGTGAAAGTTAATGGATATTAATTGGCTACATTCTATTGCAATTTCACTAAAATATAAAAGATTATCTATTTTCGTGATGCACTTGGGTAAGGTCATAACTGAGAGGAGTCATCTAATTATTTGATATAGGCAGAAATGAAGGAATTAATATGAATAAACAAAGAAATATATAAATAAATAAATCATTGCTTTTATTGTACTATTTATATTAAACAATATTTAATACAGACTACAACATTTTAATTTTTTTACCTTCTTTTCATGATCTTTTGTACATTTTCTTTTAGCTTGTATTTTCTGTTTGTCTTCTATTACATATTTGTATATTAAAAAACGTACACCCTTCTTCAAAATACGTTTTTCGGGTAAATGCACTTTACAAAACAACTTATCATCAGGTGGTTTGAAATTAGATTACATTAGATTTGATTTGTAAAACCATTTTCCAAATTATTTAAATGGCCATTTTTTCTACAAAGGTGTACAAATATTCATAAACACTCTTTAAAAACGTCATTACATTAAATAAAAAGTCATATTAAATCATTATATTACATCACCAAAAAAGACACGTTTTCATTAGTGTTATGTGAATGCATTATACTACAATTTTCATACAATTAATTCTGAATGAAATTTTAAATTAAATGCTCCTCTATATTGCAAAACGTACTTGGATTCCACCAAGACCAGCAAATCGAAATGCAGAAAACTCGTAACGGTTGCGATTACGTCCGCTAATACAAAATATATTGAAATGCGAAACACACAAGCTACTCGATGAACGCACAGAACACTAAAGGAAGTCATGAACGTATCCAACGGTAATAATATTCACTCTTCCGCCATGTGGAAAACTCATGCAGACTGGATGTGACGTACAAAAAAAGTGAAAAATCCAATCATTGCGTTACACTCTTTCAACTAGCGCTTCTAGTGGCGTGGCAGTGTATTGCCAATTACCCTATCTCACCTTCTCCCCTGTGCTTAAGCATCCAGGGCAAAGAGTATCCAGCGTATTCTTTCTGATCAAATGCGATCTAATTTCTCCGAGAAGTTTGAGCAGTTCCGTATGTGTATCAACAACTGGAAGTGAAATTGTTTGTTTGTTTGTTTTCTGGTCGTGATAATGATGGAAGATATTAACATTTTAACAGAAAGCATTGTTAAAATAGAAGATGTAAGCATATTTGGTTCAATGTTAAAATGTGATTTATCAATAGTTAGGAAGGCCTGTGAATTAAGATTACGATTTACGAACTGAATTAACTCAGTTGTAATATATGCTCAAAAATGTAATATGTGTTAATGATGTGCCGAGTTTTAAATTATTGTTGTTGTGCTCTTTCCAGGTTAAAGAAGAACCTATTGATGGGAGCGATGATGTTTGTTGGAATGCCTTTGTGAGTAATTGCATTTGAATTCATGCAACTGCACTAATAATTCTAGTAATTCAGTAATGGTCATTGGTCAGTTAATTAAAAACTCCTAGTTTGCTAACGGAACATTTTGAGAACGCAACAATGAAGTTCCAAAACACTGGCAAAACAAATTGGTTTTTAATTTAATTACCATTGCCCATTCCTAGAATTTATATGTAATATTTTTATAATAAGATAAGTAACACAATCCAATCACTGTTTTGTGGTAATCAAAAGGAAAATGAAATATTGACATGTGTGAGGTTAGAAAAAGTAACCCAACTTAATGTTGGTACACAATTTTTTCAACATTGAAGAGATTGAGAGATACTTTTTGTATTTCTCTGCCTAGGGACCAGGCAGAGCTTCTGATTGAGGCAGGAGAAAATTGAGGGTTTCACAGAAATGTCTAATTTGTTGTTGCGCCAGTAGAACTGAATTTTCTGGTGAATCTTAGCAATGGTTTTTATTCTTTGAAAGGTGACTTTGGAGGTGCTTTTGCACTTGATAGCCTAATAAGGAAAGCAAACTACCTGACTGCCTCAAAATTGTCATGGATGTAATGCCAGTTTTCTGGTTCACTGGAAGGGTGTAAAATGTTATACATTTGAGTGCACTAAGAATCATCTCCAAAGAGAGAACTTCTTTTGATTAAAAATTTCAAGATCTTGAATTGGAAGTGTTTCTATTTGCTATTTTAAATTTATCTGTTAACGTCTATTTATTTAGAAGTTGCTAGTATAGAAAATATTCTTCAGTGTGTTCATTTTAGTTATGTTGCGCAGAGGTAATCAATGTGATATGAATGATATTTATAAAAATAGCTACTAAGATGAAAACTTCTTTTCTTGTTTTCAATTCATTTTCAAATTGACCTTTTTTTTTTTTTTTTTTATAACAATGCTCCATCACCATACCACGTTCGAACACCAATGGAACATTGGAAAATTAAGTAAAATTTAGATTATTAGAATTTGTTAGAAAAAAATATAAATACAAAGTTTTGAATACTTTGTTAAGTAGTTTACTAAATGGCCCATCAATTACGGTGCATAATGTTTTAAATATAATTCTTTATAATTTTCACTATTAATAAAATCTTGAAATAGTTTCACGAATTAATATTAATGATTCAAATTAACGTTCAATAAAACACAAATATTTTAGATTATTTTGGTTATGTTCCTTGTAAAATCTAACTCTAATATTTAATTTCTTTTTAATGTTTTAAAATAGAGTTAAAATATGTTAAACATGCAATGTGATCACATAAACATTTTACAAAAGCCTGTATTTGTAATTTCACACAAGATTGAATTAAATATTTAGAGGAATAAATTTTATTATTAAATTTGCATCATAAATATTTATAAATAGAAGTATGAGACTGCTTTCTTACCCCTAAAGCAAAATTCAAGTGATCACTCACTCAGTTTTTGGAAGGAACAAAAACTATGAGTAAATCTACTGAAGGTAATTCAGTATTCTTGAAAACCCATATGATTCAATACTAAATGATTTGAATTCACTTCAAAACCTCAATGAAGCTTTGAATAAAGAAAATCAAGTAGCAACAAGATCGTAGCAAAACAAAGTAGTGTTGTTGTGGGTGGGTAGAAATTTGGCCAATTGAATGACACTGGGCAGTGCAATTCACAGGGATGAGGGCAGTGTAAGGTGTGAATAATATAGAATTAATTCTTGATCTTGTCTAATTTATGTGTATGTGTTCAAAAATAAATAATACTATTCACCTAAAGTTTCATTGGTTCTTTGAAACTAATTGCTGCAAAGATAAGTAAGGAGCTTTACTATTTTGATATGGGTATGTGTGTTTATTATGTTTAATTGTTCTTTCTAAGGCTAAAGACTTGTAATTTACAACATGTATTTTCTACATATACACATGTAAGAGAAGGTTCATATTTCATGTTTATTGTAAGAATATTGTTTTGCTTATCAGTGAACTAAGTTCATTTTGTTTCTAATATTTATCTTAAATATGTTTTAGTTTTACAATTTAATGATCTGTCTTTGGATTTGTGTGAGGTTTGGTTAGGTTAGCCTCCTTGGCTGTAACCACCATAAATATAATCGTTAGAAAATATGTAGGTATCAAATTTCATATGGTAATGACCATACCATGTTTTCCATATTATATTTACAATAAGAAATTTTATGATGGCTTTCAACTCAGAGAAACTATCATAGGAATATTGTAATAGAAGCCAGTCTATGTCTTTTTTGAAAATATACATTTTTCTTCTACATTTTCTTGATATGATTAATATTGATGGAGTTTTATTGTTGCTAAAATAATAATAATTCTAGTTATTAAAACTCCATATTGTGTCTGCAATGCCTGTTTAAAATTTCATTTAGATTGGACAACACACTTCTGAGAAAAAGCTACATTAATAATTTAAAACATTAATTAATGTTTTACGGGAAAAATTTATTTAAATTAGAAGTTTAAAAAAGTATACACCTTAAAACATTCCAGGAGAATAATCATTCTGGACATCATCTTGCAGCTTTCTTTTGGTGTTCTGTCTTTTCTGAACTATTGTTTGCTTTGTCATGGCCTCAGCTGCTCGGTTTGCATAATATGTGTTCACTGTCTATTGCCTTCAATATTTTAGCACAGTTGTATCCAACATTTATCTCCATTTGCTCTAAAACTAATTTCCTTGCCTCTGCACCATCATTGTATGGTAGTACTGCATCCATAACACCAATCCTCAGAGTCAGATCTCCAACAAAAACATTTTTTGAGATGCTTTCTCATATGCAGTTGTTTGGGCTCTCATTTGCATTTTGAGTCCTCCCATTGAAGACTTCTTTCAAAAGATATTGCTGACTTAGGACCATATAAATGAGTTTTATTACATCAGTAATGGCAGGAGGCAAGCAATGTTTCTGATATTCTTGACCAGAAAACAACTCATCAAAATATGTGTCCTTGTAAATTTGTGTAGAATAAAACTGCACATAGTGGGCGTGGCATTTAAAGACCAACCCAGCATACAAACATATTTTTTGCACCTTAAAAATTAGTGTTCTCTCATAATATATGCATCAAATTGTTTATAAAAGTTCAAAGTTTTTGAACATGTTTTCCACTTGTTCATCGCAAGTTCACTTGCATGTTTATGTGGAAATGAAACTGCAAATCCAAAAATTTAATTGTTTTTGTATTACGAAATACTTTTTAAACTTTATGGTGGCGGATAGTGCTGTGGCTCCTATAGTGGATGAAACGTTCTGTATGGCTCAGTACTATAGAAAAGTTAAAAGTCGTATGTAAAAGTGATAGCCTCATTTTTGTAGAGAAACTCTCGGGAAGAATTGATATCCACGAATTACGAATAGTAGGTTCCCTTAAACTCACGAGACTATATGTGTAGCCTATATTATTTTGATTTAGAATTTTTGTTTTGTCATCGTTTTTGTTCTGTGCAGGAGGAGTTGGAGCCTCCAATAGCTGTGCTTGTTGGGCCATCGGAAAAGCAAGAGACGGCTTGTGGTGACGAACACAAGGTACGAATAACGGGTTACATTCGCAGTTACTAATTTGGGGTCTGCCGTCGTGTGGTTTCCTTTCGACTGTCTCCACTGATTCCTAGTGTTCTCTTGATTGTAATCATGGTGGATAATCATGTAATTATAGCAGAGTATGTCACCATATGTCACGTTTCTAGAAAGTGTGACTTATTGACCACCTCTGGAATAATTAATTTACAGTTATCAAAATGTGTTCATTGAAACAGATTTTCAAATAAAGTCATGTTGCATTTTTCGAAGCGAATATTTTTGAAGTAATTGGTCACTAACGTCACACTTAGTCGCCCGCTCTGAAAATACTGCGCTTCTTGATGGTATGAGTCGTAAGGTCTAAAGATATACTCTGACGAACGAACTTCTCTCGGACGCCTGTGAACTTCTCAACTCCTTTCTTCAATCGTTGTGGCAGTGTTTTGTCATCAAATGCAATTAACATTCTGAAGGGAAGACCCTTCTGCAATCAGTTTGGTGCTTCCGCGAGCAAATCTTCTGTCACTGGCTTGAAAGTTGCTTTTCGTTTGTAGTTACTAGAAGAAAGTGAAATAGTGAAAATTATCAATTCTTCTTCGCGAATCCGGTAGGTAACGAAATGAGTAGGTACATCATATGTACCCTGCCTGCCGAACTGTTCAACACTTGTAGATACATGCATGAAAGAACAACGTTCAGCATACATTTTCGCAAAACAAAGGGGCAAATCCCCACATATTTCAGACTGCAGAGATTTGACCCAGAAAGACAGGCCTTTTTTTCCTCATGCCGGCACGTTTAAGGAGATGCTATTTCGCCATTTTTGTATTCGAAGTGAAGCAAAGTTCGCAGTTTTGAAGCTTCGTTTGAGTTGTGTAAACTGATAAATCGTTAATTCATTTTCTTGCAAACATCGTTATTCAGTATCAATTGAAATTCACAATTATTTCATCAAAACTGCAAAAAATGAACTTCCTCATTATTTCATCGACTGACGAAGCAACCTCGCGTTTTAATGACCAACCGGCCTTCAACACCGTCCTGTTGCCTGGCGGTGAGCTCCGTAAGCAATAGCAGTCCGCTCAAAAAGCGCACGCGGCGCTTTGCTCCTACCTACCTTTCATGTGCTTTAAAGGTTTTCTGATGAAACTGAAATTTTCTCCGAATCTCGGAAAGTTTTCCGTGAAAACGAGGGGGAAATTGGTTATCAGAAGCGCTCGAGCAACAATTACGAGAAGGTAGCCTCAATATTGAGAGCGTAGGCTTCCGCGGCCGGAGTCAGTATTTACCAGGCTGTCCGGGTGTCGCCGCAAACGTCGGCACCTTCGCCATGGACGCGGCGTCACCCGGACTGCCTAGTAAATAGCTTCAATATTTTCAACAAAAGTATGCATAGTGCTCAATATTTTCAACAAAAGTATGCATAGTGCTCCAAGTTTTACTCTTCTGTAATATTCTGAAATTTGCATTTCAGTGTCACTGTTAGGGAACTGAAAAAATTAGATGCGACGACACGATCGCCCCTTTCTGCATTTGCCGGAAGTCCGAAGAAAAAGATTTTGATATCGCGGCGCGCCGTTCTATCCGCATCGATGGCATCGTGCATCTGGTGGAGAAGGACCTTTTCACCGTTTCAGTTGTGGGGTTATGTCGAGCAAATAGGGATGTGCCCAGTTTAATCATGTTCCAGAATTATCGCGAGTTCTACAACAAGATATAAAGTTTTATTTGATGTATTACCCGACACTCGGAAGTGTGATGTCCTAGTTGGATGGCTAAACTAACATTCTCCTTCGATAACTCGAAAAGTTATATTTGCCAAATTTAAAATACGAGGTATTTATAAGAAATTGCGAATCTAGGTTCATTTGTACAATGGGAATTAACTGTATTTTGGAGTGATAAATTGTTTTCACTATCGATGTAAATTGTGTGTCTCATTTTGTAAAATAATTATCAATTGTCTGCCGCTTATTTTGTTACGTTTTTAAATAAATTAATGCAATTATGATTCTGTTCATTAACTCAATAGAATTATTGCATTTACGTACAATATTTATATATTTTCAAAATATACAACAAAGCTTCAAGTTTGTCGTGAGGCGTTCTATATTGAAATAATTTTTCATCTCCAGCCAGATCGGGTTATAACATCAAATAATCGGGCTATAAAATCATGTTCTAAGGTTCTTTCTTTTTATTTTACGAGCACAGAATCTGCGCTACTTTCGACTCTGTGCCTCATTTTCTTCTGCTATTAAAAATGAGCGCAAAGTGATTGCTTCTTCACTTAACATTTCAAAGCCGTCGCACACAATACAAGACCTGCAGATTCATTGGTATGTCCAATGCCAGGGACTGTCGCAAATTACTTGAAGCTGTGCATGTCATTTAGAAATTTTCTTCACGTGACAAAACTTTTAGAACAGTTTACAGAATCAGAAACGCCACATTCAACTGGTATGTAGTATATTACTTCCTCTAACACGTATAGTCAGAAACCCATGGTTTGTTGATTCCTTTATACCGAAAAATCAATTAACAGCAAAACATTTCTGCCCGTCCGTCCGTCCGCCTGCGAACAACGCTAGAGGCCAAACCATAAGTAGAACTTTCACCAATATTGATATTCTGTCATCCTATCTGACCGATGTCGCGGCCTCTAGGTTTTGAAACGGATATTTTGAGTTTAGTAGCTACTTTACACGAAACTTTTCAAACTATTCTCAAAAATGGTTCCATTCTGTTTGTTAAAATTGTTCCCCCTCTGATGGAGCAAAAGACACACAAAGAAATGGTCTACGTCGCATTTCCTCAATTTTCGAAAATTGCAAAGTTCAATTTTTTGCGTCTTACTACAACTAGAATATTGAAGATACAGTTTTTTTCCTGAATAATGTGTTCTTTAGACATCTTGAAATATTTCATGTAACATATTTTCAAAATATGAGTAGTTTTCTCGTAATTTTGCGTGGAATATGTGGAATTTAATTTTTAAACAATTAATTTCTTAAGAACGATTTCATATTTATATTTATTTTTTCCCTCCTATATAGCCAAAAATGGTAAGAACGCGCCATTTTCAGTTCTATTTTCGATAATGCGAGATTCCAAATTGCACAATTGGAATTCCCGCGCTTCTTTTGATGAACTGTTCGCAAAATGGCAACACGACGGTTTGAAATTCTTAGAAATCTTCTCAATTCTTATCAAAAGATATATATTTAAAGATTAGAGTAATAGATGTAACTTGGATCTAATGTATACACTTTTAAGTTAAACAGATTTGATTGCTGATTAAGGTATTCAAAAATTGGAAGCTTATGTAATGAAGGCAAGCTGGCGCAAAAGTATTCGTCCTTTTCTGTACTTTGTGCTGCAAATACAGTAACAGTTTAATTAATACGTGCGCTTCTTTTGCAAAAATTAGAAATTGACAGTGGTTAAGCTAGGGTTATGGAGTTGGTATTCTGAAAATCTTACCTTAAACTTTTTTGTAAATCAGCTCCATTCAACGGGCTTATCGTTCAGCAAACACCTCGATATCTTGTTCATTAAAGCTGTCGTCTCTGGTAAGTTAATTTAGGAAACGTTTCTCAATAGCCGGTGTACTCAAACTATGTGTTACAAAACGCACGCGCATTTTACTACAGAGCGTCTAATGCTCATGCGCACAGGCCGAGCGACGTTGCCGAAGTTCCCGCGCTCCCGGACAGAAGGCAAGGAAAGGAAAGGTCAGCCTACCGGTGAAAGTCGAAGTGGAGCCCGTGCGCCCATTTCGCCATTTTGCAAACATAACTTCAGAGAATAGTCCTCGTGATCGCTGGTGTTGTAAACAGCGATACTATCGAACAAATCAAATTCAACGAACTTGTACACCTTTACAAGTGTTATTTGCGGTGAAGCCGACGACCATAATCAAGCCAACGGTGATTCTAGTCAATGGTTGTGGCGCCAAGCTGCAGATTCAACCTGGAAGGCGGCACAACGGTTCCGTATGTAAATTTAAGCTCGTTAAACCATTGGTACCAAATTCAGCAAAGCTGGTCTTTGCACTCAATGTTATTTATGTATAAAATAGTTTTATTAGATTATGTAATGGGAATTTGTTTACAAACCTTTCAAAACACATGTTCATACATTAATTGTTATTATTCATTTTATTCCCGTTCATAACCTTCCAATCGAATTAGGTGAATCTGAAGTGCAAAAAGGAGCTACCAGAGTATCAAAAATACCATCGGGCTTCACATTCATTACTATGTGTGACATTGGAATTTCTCTGGATTAACCTCACTCTCTCTACTGTAACCATCTTTCTCGTAATGCTGTAGGTAAAGGAAAAGTTCGACGGAGTTTTATCGACCGAACCGTCTCTCATGTTCTAGGCCGTTGCCCAAGAAATACTTCAACAAATCTGCAGACTCGTATTTTGCATTACCAATGAATTCATTTGCCAGTTTATTTCGAAGCGGCTCACTGCCAATGGACATTGTTTTATTAGGAAAGCTAACTTTTCTGAAGGAAAGGACACTTTGTGGGTGGAAAATTGCTTTTCGTCAAGAAATTCGACAAAATGAAAGTATTCAAAATCCTGAAATCTATATTCCATCTGAGATAATTCTGTGCTAATAATTTTAAAAGAGACAATTTTACCTGTTTCAAATAATTCAGATCCTGAAAGTTCACTCCTGGTCATGTCTACCTTTCATGCAGTTTGTGTACCTTCGAAGCAATGGTCTTTTCGTATCTAATACGTCATATTACTACGTACCTGTCTTATTGCTACCTCTGCATTGTTGAGCGAAAACTTGTATTTCGATGTAGTGACCCGTTTAGAAGTTGTGGGAATGGCCAATAGCTGTTGGGACATTCTCTATAGCTCTACATCTGTAACTTCATTAATTCTTTCGTAAAGAAGACACGACAAAAATCGCACAAACGACTCACTCTACGTCAGGGCGACGAGGCGACTTTGCGTGGGCGGCCGGGGCGTGGCGAAGTGCGTGCATGCTGGGATCCCCGGCTCTTCGCCAGTGAGTGCGTCTCCAGCGCGCGCCCTCTTGTGCGCACGCGCGGCAGAGCCTGCAAAAGAAATTGCAAAAAGGCACACACCGCGTCGGTTTTGTTGAAATATAATGTGGGTATTCGGATGCTGGTTTCAAGAGCCGGAAAATGGCAAGCAATATTATGTCGCAAGAAATGTTGCCAGTGGGGTTGCACTGGGGCAGTAAATATTTCTGATGTTGGCAATACTTGTTACTGGTTCCGGGCGTGGTGTAAACTCTTGGATTTCCGTCGCCGGAAAGGAATTGCCTGCTTCTGCTGCGAACGGAACTGGATTGAAGTCTGCCCAATGTATTGCGTGAAGAAGACTCTGTGAATACTACCATGACTGCTCGCACGTGCGCAGGAAGTACAGTAGAGTTGATCGCTGAAATGGAGGGGCAGAGGTGTCAAGTGTGATGTGAACGCTTCAGACTATAAGAATAAATGAATTCGTCCAGTATGGTGGCTGCACAATTTGCGATATTCTCGGGAGACGTTGAGAGGAAATGAAAGAATCCGCTGGCCCAGTTCAGCAATGAGCTGAACAGAATGCAGAAGCTTGGACCAAGTGGTTCGGGCTACTGTAAAAGGGCATAATTTGAGCCATTCAAGTTCATGGAAGGGTCCGTAATAATACTATCTCTGAACACATCATGTAGAGATTTCATCTTTTGATTTTATTGTTTTGTTTCTCATTATTTTATTTTTCACATCGACACATCAAAAGTCGACATTGCTGTGTGGATACGAAAAAAGAACATACATAGGTAGGTATTAAGGAATTCGGAGGACGTTTGTAATGTAAATGAAAATAATAACTATTCACAAAAATGATTGTTATTTAACTTATATTAATCTTATAGCTTACAAAAAAATAAAATATCAGAAATGAATTTATAGTTCCAAGGGACTTCCCCTTCACTAGAAATAAAAAAGTCTTTGAATTCGTCCCTCTCGGAGTTCTGGCACTATTATTAGTCAGTCCCCTCTGGAGAGGTATATCTGTATTTTCAATGGCCTCCTCACTTCTCCACGAACCACCTCTTAACTGGCGAGTTTCACCATCTTCCGAGTCAAAATCACGTGTTTGAATTTCTTTCAAAAAGTTGTGGAGAACACAGATTGCAGTTACAATAAAGACTTCACTGTGCGGACTCACCATTAGCCACCATTGTTGAAAGAGGCTTACATAACTATATGCTTGCCGTCATTGCACCTATGCAATGAGGAAAATTACATAGTTTGTTAAAATCGTCAGCTAACAACCTTCCATTCTTCAGGTGTAGCTGGCAGCTGAAAATGAAAGAAGTAATTTTTAACCATACTCGCCGACATGTGTGCAGCCAGATTACATAATTTGTTGTTCTGTTCAGGGACAATCAACTGCAGGTGGTGGAAAAACCACACACCAACCGGCCCCTACTACCACCACCCCAACAGCTGAAAGGAAGACTACCATCACCCCAACAGCTAAAAGGAAAAAATGGCCATCAAAAGAATTGCTTGAAAAAGCACGAGACATTTTGAGTGCAGAGAATGACGAGTGCCAAATATTTGCGGATTTTATCGCAATGGAATTGAGGAAATTAGAAGAACGATACAGAGTTGAGCTAAAGCGGAGGTGCCTGATCAATTTATTGGAAGTTCAGGACCTACAAAAAAAGCATTTCGAACTAGGTAAAACTTGTTTCATGGTCTCCATCTACTTATGTTTTAAAATGCATTGTAATTATTTTTAATCACACTAATAACTGATTCTACTTTGTTTTAGGTTCCGTCAGGTTCTCTGAACCCATAAAAATTGAATCTGAATAGATCTTGGCAGTGTTATCAGATCAACAATTATTTTCTTTAACAATAATAAATTATTAAAATGAAGTCATATTGCATATCTTTGAACCGAAATCCATTCCTTGAAGGCAAGAGCATTTCCATTCCTGAATTACTTCCCATTACCTTCCAAATTCTAATATATAAAATACTATCCCCTACAGGTGACCAGCAAAGATGAAAGTTTAGTATCTATCGTAAGTAAATAGAACGTGAAGGGATGCCAGCATTAAACTGCGCAAATGGGGATCTATTTGTGTCAATGTATGCATTGGATCCACATTCAACCTGTTCGCTGCTAACGACGTCTATAGGCGTCCCGACTTTTCGTCCCCCCGTGTGCTAACGCCGCCTTCAGACGTTCCCCGTGCCAATGCCGGCTTTTATTCGTCTTGTACTTCTTCTGATGGGCTGAGGGAGGTGGCGATATTTGTTGTAAGGGTTTGAAGTTGAGTTTGAACCCTCCTAGAGAGTGCTTAAGTGGAACATCTTCTGCTGGGAGATGAAATGTTTGTGAACTGCTAGGCTGACATGTGGCTCTCGCCACCCGTGAGGGATTGCGCGCAGCTTGGAGGCCCTGCAGTAATGACCATAGTAAAACTCTCTCTCTCTAGTTTTCCGGTACAAAGAACCGCCCTTTGTGTTACGATTTGTTCCTGTTTACATGCATAACTATAAGAATATCGGCTACTTTCGTGGACAAAACAGAGCTCAATGAAGGAAGTTCAATTTTGGATTTTTTTTCACGGAGTCGTTAATACCATTCATTTCTTAATGAAAGTGAGAAATTCTAAAATATCATTCGCGGCTTGCGAAATGGAGTGGTACGTATTGTGATGAAATGTATATTTTCTAGAGGTTTTTACTCAAGCCAATACTTAAAAAAATCTCTCACTAAACGAATATTCAGCGCCTATGTTGGAAGCGATAATGCATCGAGATAGGTTTTTGTCGTCTCTGCTTCACTTCAGAGACAACAATATAGGGCAAGGCGGCTTTCACCTTTTCAAAACAGCCGTAAATGCCATTGGCTGGAGCTTTGCAAGCTCATTTTCCCCGTTCGGAAAGTTGGGTGTTGATGAAAACCTAATTTTGTTCAAGGGGCGCTGTTTTTCAAACAGTATATCTCTTTAAAACGAAGCAGGTTTGGAATCAAACTCTTAGTGCTGTGTGATTTTGAAAGGGGAATGGTCCTCGATTTTTTTTGCCGTGAGTTACGATTCTTTAGTGAGGAATGTAATAGCCAATGTGGGGCAGAGTGTTACACAATGTTTTGAAGAGTAACACTTAAAAATGAATTTCAAAATTCCCATTTATATCAAAAAGTTCAAAAATGTTTGAGGGCCTCGTGTTACACTATGTTTTAAAATATATTTCACGAAAAATATGTCCCTCATTTCAAATGCATAAACATATTTTAAATTGAAAACAAATTAAAACTTAAACAAAAATGTATATTTCTAACTTTGCCCGTATCGGCCGAAAGTCCCTATCGAAAAGGGATAGGAAGTATGCGCGTTTGTCTTGTGGCGCCACCGATGCCCTAGCAGTACGTGCCCTTCGGAACCAAGAAAATGCGCCACAAACAGCGGTCGCAGAGCGGGGACGAACTGGGTGGGGTCCGTGGTAGCGAAAAGGTTAATTGCCATAGCATTGTTTCAAGATATTATTAACTTCTTAAGGGTGCAGCTTCCCATAGTTACTACATTTATGAATCGATTACTCCGTCCAGCAGTAGCTTTGCACACTTTTGGAACAAAACCTGCATGATTCAGAAAAGTGCTAGCCCTTAAATGAATAGCATCTATATTACAGCAAATACATATGATAGAACTACCTGATTAAAAGGTCAGTGGAATAGGAATTATGTAGAATAATCATGCTAATATAAAATATAACACAAAATAGACGAAATTATGTGAAAAGACTCGCTAATGTTGTTGAAATGTTGTGCTTCAGTTGCTTATTTGATAACAAATGAAAATAATTCATAATTTTATAAATTCTCACCTGTTGTCAAAAAAAAAAAAAAAAAACGATGTGCGACAATCAAACGTTCTTTAGCCGATATAACCTCCCTGCATTTTGTAGTTTTTGCTGATCTGTGGGCCAATTAACTGCAACGCCGTGTCACGTTCTGTCACGCTGATGAGTAGACTGTAATTTTGAGGGCCCGGCGGGTCTTCTGCAATGAACTCCTGGGTCAAAAGGGCAAAAGCGCCCTCTTCCTTTCCTCTCAGCGTGCAGCCACGCGTCCACGAAGACCGTCGGCGCTTCTCCTGTTCTTCATTCCGCACTGTCCGTGCGGCTGCGACTCGCGTCTTTTCGCTTTCGATCGGAAAGTGAGCTCCAACCTCGAGACGTCACCAAACACGGCAACCAAAAGGCCTAGCGTAAAGCAATGTATTCGGAAAAATGTTGCTCAGATCTTTTTGGCAACAAATTGCCCCGTATTGTTCTTGCTTATGTCCGCAAAAAGCAGAAACAACTTGCTGAAAGATATTGCGGAAACTTTGCTTGTGTAAGGGCAGCGTAAGGTTCTTAGATTACACATCAGCTTCGCCACTGGAAATTAATATTATTTCTGATTAGTGAAATAAATGCCGATGTACAGCACAGGCGCTTCGTTTGAATTGGTGAAATTTGTTTTAAGTTACAGCAGGAGAGTTTTAGTGGGACAAATTGCAATATAAAATATTATGTAAGTTTCCAGTGCGAGAAGAATGTGCTGTTCAGCACCTCTAGTTAAATACTTCTGCCGTTTCGACATCACCTGACAAACTTTCTCTAGTGTGACGACGCACTCCATGCCATTTCGACTTTCTCGTATACATACGGAGTAATATCAGTACAGTGTTTTAGTAAATGCGAGTGTACTCCCCGTTGACCAATCGAGACGTATGAGGTATCATTCGACGCGGTCTCCTGGTGGGGAATTCATAGTTGGTTTTCGGACCCGGCCAGAATATTCTAAAAGAATCCAAGCACGTGTTTTAGAGCTGCAATCTTGGTGGGTAGACGGAGACTTAAACCAACGCCGCCTAAACAGACTTATGCAGGTGGCGTTGAACAGTATTACCGTATTCAAGTGAATATGGAGTAAACCAGAATTGCAGGTAATGCTACAGAAAGGCATTTTCGTTCGACTTCTCACATGTACATTCTCTAGCGTACAAAAACTGATTTTCAAATAAATATGCCAAACAAATTACTAAACTGAACTCGCACCTCATTCACATAAATATATAATAAACAGTCGCCTTTTAATGTTTATATAGATTCGCCTACAAAACGATAAAGCAGTTGCAGAAGTGAACACCATTATTTAATCTCTCTTCAAAATTTAGGGGACAAAAAGTGTTAAGCAAATCCGGGGAAGAAACATATTTAGTTGTAGATGGTTTGTGCAACAGAATCAGAGAATAAAATTCTGAAGTTTCCAAAATTACTAAAATTTGAATTTTTGAGTGTCATGTTGAAACTCCATTATTGAACATATGAATTTTCTTCAAGTCAAATTGATTCTCCACTATTTCTTTAATTTATGTCAGGTGTTTTGAAAAGATAGAGATAGTTACTCAGAATAACCCGACATTAACGTAATTTTAATTAATTTATTTGAGTTACAAAAAAATTTCACAATTGAATCGTTGTGGCTAGTATAAGTATATCGAGACGACCTCAAAGAAAATAATTTTTTCTGATAATTAATTGGACTAACACGTAACACTTCAGGAGAAAATTTAAATGGAATTAGTGAAATGTTTCTTGCAGTTCTCTGCTAAACTGTCCTCCATACCACGAGAATTTTATGTAGCATCGTAGGCTTCCACGACCTCACTCAGTATAAGAGAAGGTTGCCGGTAGGTAGGCCGCGGTCCAGTTGGTGTTGAAAGTCCGTCCTCGACTTCGGTGGACGTCTTCAGTGGCGGCGGCGGCTGGCGTCGGGCTGAGAATGTTTAAAAAAGAACATGATAGCTCTTTATCAAGCACGATGCATCGTATTCTCAAAAGTCCCCTGTCTTCATTCTCATTTGCATCTATTTCTGAGATATAGTGGTGCACATTCTAAAGACTGGTGGACGACTTCGTTGTTATAAAGTAACCAGATTTGTAATGCGACTATTGCCAAACGGTATCCAGCGATTCATTTCGGATCAGTTAGAAGTAATTAGGCTAACGAAAGAATCTTCAATAGTTATGTAACGTATACATATAACCAGATAGAGGTGAGAGCAACATTTGTAATATTTTTATGAATTAAAATTACTAGAAGTCTAGACTCCGTGATAATTTTGTAATAGAATTTTATTTCTGCAACAGAAAGGGGTAAATTGTTGAGAGTCAGTGTTAACTAAACGATAGCCAGGCATCGTGATGCAATGCTAATGTAAGCTGCTTATCATTAAAAGTCGACATGGATTACTGGAGTAATGCAGGGATAGTTATTCTCCCAAAAGAAAATTAACATTTTCCATCACAATATGTTCTTCCAAGGAGAAGTATTTGTTGTTTATTAGTTGTTTATTTTTTTTTTTTTTTGTAGGATCCTCTTGCGTTCGTCTGTGATGCTTCGGTTGCTACAATAAAACAAGAGATCACGTCATGTTTCCCCGGTAAGTCACTCATAAAATAAATCGAATATGTTACCTTAATCAGTGGAAAACAGTAGCAGCTAGTTGTCAAAATTTACGTCGAGAGTTGTTCACAAAGCAATGTGGCGAATGGCCCTGTTGTTCCGGAAACACATCGCAGTCCGCTCTGCAGATCCTTGAAAGCACCAAGAACTCCCCCGCGTTTAAACGGGTCTGACGTAGCTCATGAAGCCCTGAAGCACGCTAACAGCCAGCGGAATCGCAAATTCGGGTGTCATTAGGAAACATAGGGGTCTCATATGCCACATTTTGATAATGCTCGAAATGAATTTGCCAGATCTCTACCTTAATTGGAAACACGTGTTTGATTTGCTCTTTCGTGAAGACTTGAGCGTATCATCAGCTCCACACGGAACATTGACTTAGAAAACTTTTATTTCCCATTCTGTTTTCCATCTTAGTGTTTTATCCCTAATATTATGAATTGTTTGCATGAAATACCTGTAACAATGCAGGGACACTAGTTTTCAAGGAATCAATAGAAATTCCAACCATTTATTTGAAATATTGTTAAAAGAACATTTTGCTGACTGCAAGAATGACTGAGATGCGGCATTTATCTTCAGAATTGGTGAGTGTATTTGTGCGGACATGCGACCGAAAGTGTAAAGCGAGGTAATGTGCATTGCCCTTGGTCCAAAGGTGAGCAAATCTTTTTGGGAGCGAGCCAACAAGAAAGAAAACGTTTAGGTGGTCATTCTAATTTAGAAGTTACACTTTTACAAAATTGATTACAAAAATTAGAATACAACATTAATATGATCGAAACTGCAACTGAATATTTTATGGTTCCTTATCATTTCAGAATCGAATGATTGTAAACTAATTCTCAGTTGTAATGTTAAACGCATATTAGTCTACATGTTCCTTAGAAATTCTTTTTATGTTTCGTAGTAAAACACATGAACGTAAGTTGAAGCATACATAGTACTTAGTACTTTCTGGGCGTGAGATATTAAATTTGAGAAAGTAGCTTTGAAAACAATTTGTAAAACTAATTTTGCATCTTGAGACACAACCGCTGAAGATTGTTAGCGATTCAAACTCCAAATTAGGCCCAACTGGTTCACTACCATTAAAATGGATGGATGAAAATATCACCATCGTCAATAAATTGACATTTTCGTTTTTCATTTTCATATTCATGTTCGAAGTAATAAAATATTTGACATGCATTTTTCCAAAATGGATATTCCTCAATAGCGCTGGCTCGACTCGAGGCGCTGCGATTTTGAAAAACTTTCTTTAAAATTTGGGGCCGGGAGAAGTGGCCCAGGGCATCAACTGATGTTGTGGCCCTGGCTGGGGCGGTGCCGCGATGGTGGAAGATACCTGGTTGGGGAAAACCCCGCTAGCCGACGGTAGGTCAGCGCCAGATTTTGCCATCCAATGGGGGTGGACCACCCACATCCCTAGTGAAACTTGCACTACGCTTACGGGACTACTGACTAGTAGGTGACGGATTCGGAATCACTAACAATCAATCTTTTAAAATATGGGGGTACATTACATGAAGCCCTTAAGACATTTTCAAAATTTTCTCCTAAATGTCTCCAAATGTAACTCTGAATTTTTGAAACGTGGAAAAGTTTTTATACGGTCTCTTCCTACAACTACAAAATTGAAGATAGATTTTTTCTTGGAATAAAATTTGTTATACATAGTGAGTTCTTTCATTAATGTCCTTGTGTTTTTGAAAATTTTAGTAGTTTTCGTGTTATATTGCGTGCAGGAGTGTAATACTATTAAAAATAACAAAAACATTTTCTGGAAAACTGCTCCACTTTTTTTTAAACTTAATGGTAGAGAGAGTTCTAATTGCCCTATCTATGAGATGACATAAATACCGAATTGCTCTATTTGTTTGTCTTTTCCAAAAATTACGAAATTGCATTGTTTTTAATTGTTTCTCACGTCGTTAATATTTACTTTAGCGGCAATTTGTTCTCATTGTATTTATGGGTGCATATGCTTTAAATAATGTCAAATAAAGTTTCTCAAAAACTCAACAGATTTCTGTAAAAAGGTCAAAATTCCGCATTTTCAAAAACGCTCAAATGCAATTTTCTCAAAATCGCTCTAAATGTTTTCTTTAAATCTTTCTAACAGAAAGTTCCTAATGCACTGTTTAATATGACAAAGTCAATTTTAGGATATTTTATTAAAAAAATAAACAAATGTAATTTCTTTGAAATATCTTTCAAGCCGTTAATGCGCACATTTCCGACGATTTGTAAACACTATTGTATTTGTGAGTGGACGTGCTCCAAATGACTTTCAATGAAGTATTTCAAAAACAAAAAAAGTCTGTAAAAAAAGATCTTCAAATTTCGCGTTTACAGTACAACGCTTTAACGCCGTATTCTTAAAATCAACTCCTAAGTTCTCATTGAAAATTTCCATTTAGAATGAGATTTCATCTTTCTTTAATATTTTTAAAGCACTAATTCGATTCTACTATTAAGAAACCGAACAAGTAAGAAAGTTTTTTTTAAAAATGTTCTTTGGGCAGCGATAGATGGCAGCTGGAAGAGTAGGTGGCAAGTCCGAATAGCTAGCCGGGACCAAAGAAAATAGAAAACTAGTGCGAGACAGTGTGTACCATTCTGTTGCACCAGTAGTTTTAATTTTGCACTGATTCCAGTCCGCAGAGTTCCTATCTCTGCCCTAGGCGTTGCTTCGAGGAGTCCAAGTCCATATGGTTGCGAGATACAATCCAAGTACAATTTTCAGTTCATATTTCCCTATCATAAAATAAAACTAGGATCATTAAACATTACGTCTCTCCTAATTACAGATTTACGAAAACACTCCACACTGCTATTAAACGTTACATCTTTTTTATCTATCTTTGTATTCTAAAAATAAAATAATTATTTTAAATGGTTTCGTTGATAATTTGGGAATGGTGCGCCATCTTTCTCCATTCCGCCCCCTTCACTCGCGTTTCGTGTTCACTTTGTCTACATCTTTGGTTTTGTAGTGTAAAGAGAGCCTTGTTAGTGTGCCTGTGGATTTGTCTAATACAGGTATTTTTGTTGATAGATGGAGGGAGCTTTGTACCAGGGAAACCTGGCACTATCCAGACACAACAGAGCAAAAGTACAGACTTCGATTGCAATCGTGAGGGCGACTATGACCCGACTACGTACTATAAGCAGACTGACCCAAACTCGCGCATCTGCAGCGGTGGAAAACGTTTTCACTGTATCACCTGTCAGAAGGCGTTTACTCGAAAGAGAAGCTTTCAGGATCACGTACGCATCCACACCGGGGAAAAACCTTTTCACTGTACCACCTGCAAGAAGACGTTTACTCGAAATTGGAGCTTGCAGGAGCACATGCGCATCCACACCGGTGAAAAGCCTTTTCAGTGTTCCATCTGTGAGAGGGCCTTTGGTGATAAAGGACGCTACAATTACCACATGCTCTCCCACACAGGTGAGAAGCCATTTCCGTGTTCCATTTGCGAGAAGGCGTTCACTCAGAAAGGGTCCTTGGATAATCACGTGCGCACCCACACTGGTGAAAAACCTTTTCAGTGCTCCATATGTGAGAAGACGTTCACTCAGAAAGGGACCTTGGATAGTCACGTGCGCACCCACACTGGTGAAAAGCCTTTTAAGTGTTTTATTTGTGAGAAGACATTCACTCAAAAGCAGGCGTTGTCTGGGCACGTACGTACCCACACTGGAGAAAAACCGTTTCAATGTTCCATCTGTGAGAAGACTTTTACTCAAAAGGGACACTTGCAGAAGCACATGCGCACTCACTCCGAAGAAAAACGTTTTGTCTTACATCTGTGAAAACAGTCTAGTCAAAAGAGGGCGTTATCTTGGCATGTCCGCACTCACACTGATAAAATACCTTTCCACTTTTCTGTCAGTGAAGATATGTTTACTCCAAAGGGAACCTTGCTGAAGCACATGCACACTCCGATAGTAGTATATAAAGGTGCGGTTTGGCCAGATTTTCTTATTCCACATTTATTTCAAATTTGAATTTTTGCAACATATTGCCAATAACAATCCCTAAAATATCCCCAAATTTTATAATTTTTATCTATTTTCACGGAGTTGGAAGGCGTTGAGATTCCTAGATCAGATTATCAGAATCGAAAACTTCTTAATTTCAAATGGTTCATTTTGCACGAAATATTCATCAACATTGAAAAACGGCTGATATTAGACGTTACGCAGCGTTGAAATTGCTACACCAGGCTTTTGAACGCCGGCATGACCTCTAAAATTATTCAACTAAAAGTGTTGCATGTATTAATTCAGTAATATAGATGAGTTTTGCGACTCTAATATGCAATCAATCTTTATAAATGTGTCTAAAGAAAGAATTTCTCGGAGACTTGACGAATCGCACTTTGTCTTAAAAGATGTGAAGGATTATTTGAAAAAAAATCGGGCAGCAATGTTGAAATCAATGTAGTTAAGTTCTAAACGATGCGTTTTAGAACCTGAAAACTTCCAATTTTGATTCCGAAGACCTCCAAGAGACGTTCCTCACGCCGTAATCTACTGGATGAGATCTATATTACATTTTTGCTGATCCGCGGCTTGTCGATTTTACCCCACCTGCTCAGAGACGTGCAGAATCTGCAACTGAATGCGAAATTAAACTAATTAATACTTCATGCAACTGAATTGCACAGGTGTACCTCTCTGTTCAGTAATAAAGTTAAGTAATATTGCAAAGAGTAGGGTTATAATTACCCGATTCTATATTTTATCATGGCAACATTACGTAGCGCTCTCAAGAGTAAAAAGCTTCTCTAATATTTTTGTGACTTCCAAGGAAAGCGAAAAGTTAACTGTCAAATAATACTTTCATTTCGTCAAATGTTTTGAAGTAAGCGTTGTGAGTTGTTGCAAGAATATTTTTTTATAATAATGAATAAACCTTCATTAAATTTTGTTTCAAACATCAATTGCATTGTTATTTATTTCTATTTGACATTCTGTAAGTACGTAGGGAATTTTAAACAAATAAACACGTTTAGTTAACTTTCCCTCTTCATATGGAAACGGAAGGATAGGGAAGAGGATGGGGTTTAACATTCGAGAGTTCTCACACTGGTAACATAGTATTACAAAAAATAATTACATTATAAATGGAATATATCTCCATTATAATTATTATACTATTAACTATATTTATATTCCATTATTATAATACATAATGTAATATTCCATTAATATAATTATTTTATTGGATGAGTACGACCACATACACTAGTTTATAAAACGTTATGAAATATAAACACTTAATCACATTATTATGAACTTTAAAGATTTAGTTTCTGCGCTTCGTTTGGGCCTGCATCAATATATAATAAGGCAGTAATACATTAATTTAATATTATAAATCGCAGAAGTTTAGTAATTTAATTAGGTTATTAGTATTGGATTTAGTTTTTTATTAACTGTGTTAGATGTACTAGGATTAACCCAGTTAGAAATCTTAATGCAGATGGAAATGAGCGTTTTTTCCAAGAATTGATAACAAAATATTCGCCAAGCGTATATGTAAATCGAAATGCACACAGTTTTGACAACACTGCGCTTGCAACAGTGGGTTTGCTCGATTGTATGTGAATTGCTGTGAATACTGTAATTGTTAAATGCATTCATGTTTGTATCGTTTGTCAAACGTTTTTTGTACGTGTTTACAAACATCGTTTGTAAGATATAGTTGCTATTCCTGACTATCGAAGCGTATGCAGACATGCATCACAGGCGCTTTGTTTGAATGGGACGTTTTCAATAAATACGAACTGTTAGTAGCGCAGAAATTGCAAAATTTCAATATTACGTAGCTGTTTCCAATAATGCGCGATAGTATGTGCTGCTGTATCACCACTAGTTAATTTTTTATTTAATTTCTTATGTTTATAGGCTATTTATTTAAAACAAAAAATCTAGACTTTGAAGGGCCTAGATATTATTACGCTTTGGATGTTAATAACTTAGGCAATGAATTAAAAACATTTAACGTATTGAAGTTAACATCTTTTGTTAATGAAAAATACTTAAAGATGAAATGTATTGTGAATATATTGAGCTTAAGTTTAGTAAAAGCTGAAATAAAAATTGAACTTTAATTGTATTTTAATGACTATAGACTAATACTGATTCAACAGTATGACGAGTCATTAAAAATTAAAGAAATTTTGAACATTTCGTGTAAAATAATATTTTTTTAAACTTGAATAATTTTTTGAAATTATAGAATCCTAAAATAAATTTATTTCATAAAAATATATTACTTGAAAAACTGTGTATGTGCAGAGAAAAAATTACCTCATCTAAAACATGTTCATCGAAGGAGATAAAACTAACTAGTGGTGCAAAAGTAGCACATACTTTCTCGCCCATAGTAACGGCCACGTAATATACCGCAATTTCTGTGAAATCACATTTCAGTAACGAGAGCTAACAACAATCTGCACATATTTTCTTATCAGTTCTTGCTAAAAACGCCTTTGCCATAAATGAAACTTTTTCAGTTTCCATTGTTGTGCTTTTATGAAAGTTCTTGTAAGTTGTTAATTATTGCTTCCGATTCGAATATACACTGGAACCAAAAAAACTGGTACGCCTACCTAATATCGTGTAGGGTTCCGGTGAGTACGTAGAAGTGCCGCAACACAACGTGACATGCACTCCACTAATGTCTCAAATAGTGCTGGAGGTAATGGACATCATGAATCCTGCAGGGCTCTCCATAAACGCATAAAATTGCTAGGGGCAGGAGTTTTCTTCTGCACAGCTCAGTACAAGGTTTCCCAGAAAGGCGCAAGAGAGTTTATGACTAGGGATTTTTGAGGCCAGTGGAAGTGTTTAAATTCAGAAGAGTGATTCTGGAGCAATTCTGGACGTGTGGGCTGTCACATTGTCCTGCTTGAATTGCCCAAGTCTGTCGGGATGTGCAATGGGCATGAATGGGTGCAGATGATTACCCACAGGATGCTTACCTACGTATCACCTGTCAAAAATATATCTAGACGTATCAGGGTTCCCATATCACTCCAACTGCACACGTCCCATACAATCACACCCTGCGCCGGCTTGAGCAGTCCCTGTTTCTATGCAGGGTCCATGGATTCACGACTTTGCCATACTCGTACATCCGCTCGAGACAATGTGAAACGAGACTTGTTAGACTAGGCAACGTGATTCCAATCATCAAGAGCCCAATGTCGGTATTGATGAGCCTAGGCGAGACGTAACGCTTTGTGCAGTGCAGTCATCTAGGGTACACGAGTGGGCCCTCGTCTCCGAAATCTTGTATCGATAGTCTCGTTGAATGGTTAGGACGCTGACAGTGGTTGATGGATGACCATTGAAATGTGCAGCAATTTGCGAAAGGGGTACACTTCTGTCACATTTAATGATTCTCCTCAGTCGTCGGTCCCGTTCTTGAACGTACTTTTTGCTGCCGCAGCGATCCGGAGGAATGATGTTTTTCCGGATTCCCGATATTAACGGTACACGTGAAATGGTCGTACAGGAAAATCCAAATTTCATCGCGACTTCGCAGATGCTATGCCCCATTTAAATCGGTATAACCCTCCAAACTCATTTAAATCGGTATAACCCTCCGTTGTAGCAGCAGTAGCCGATCTAACAACTGTGCCAGTCTGGTTGTCTGTCTATAGTCGTTGCTGACCGGAGCGCCATGATCTGATTAGTTCCAGATCTCTTTATTTCAATACGCATGGCTGTACCAGTTTTTGGTCTCTCTCTCTCTCTCTCTCTCTCTCTCTCACATATATATATATATATATATATATATATATATATATATATATATATACACACACACACAAAATAATTTTGCAAATATCTTACGCAAAATGTCCGAAAAAACATATTTTCGGAAAGTTGTACGCGTTATGTTTTTACATTGTTGTAAGAGATTGCAATCTCTATCTTCAAGGTTGTAACTGTAGTAAAACGCCAAAAAACCGTCAACTTTGGAATTTGCACGTTTAGAGCAATGCCCCCAAACCACTGCATTCGACAAACTCTCATAGAGAAAAAAATGACAGTGATAGCTTTCGCAAATGAACTGTTTTGAAGAACTATTGTTCATTACTGGAGAGTTATTAATTGTCTGTAAAGCACTCAACATATCTTTTTAGCAATGCACCATCAAGAAGGCGTTGATGAGTTTATACGTGTTAAATTAGTTCATATATAATATTTGGCTAGACGAGTGCTGTATGTTACCCAAAATGTGAATATTTGTGATTTCAAACACACGAAAAACTCAGTAATTTGCTTCTCAAGAGAAATGTGCTGTCGTGGACTGGAAGCCTCCTGAGCCCTCAGTTGCTCGTTCTTCGCTCTGTGGGTCTCTGGGGCGTCTCTGCGGCCTGTGGCGCGGCACAAACGCGCGCAGACCTCTGCGCATCTGCGCACGCGCAGCCCCCCGCCGACTGCGCGCCACCTCTGCGCAGAAGGCGGCGGCGGCCAGCGCCAGCCCCGCGCACAGCAGCGCCAGGTGCGGCCGCAGGTCCTGCAGCTCCAGGGTCCTGGCTTCGTCGCCCTCCGCGCCCGCCTCGCCCGGACGCCACGACGCTCTGTTGCGCAGGCGCCAGTACATCCCTATGGATCGGTTGAAGTCGTCTTCCCACTTTAGGTAAAGTCCCGCGTCTCGGAACTGAATCATCTTCAGGTTAATGGCGTCGATCCACGGCCAATTCCTGTAAGTTCATAAGGCCCTGAAGGAGAAATATGGAGAAAAGTTATGTTTATGTACCTATTGAGGCGTTAAATAGTTGTTTGTTGGG